GGCCTGTTATGCTCCTACTCCTTTATTTCTTCCTTCAAATAATGCAAACGATAATTTTGAAAAAAAATATTTGTTTTTTGTTTCATAATTTTTATTTAAGTTTTTCACTGTTAAGCGGCTCATAAGGCAAATTTTGTTTTTCTATAATTTTTTTCTTGAGATACAGATCCTCTCCCAAAATGTCTGTTTTCGCCTCCAAAATGCATCAAACGCGACTTAAATATTCATTATTACCTTTATACATTCCTTGGCAATATTTGGTTCAGCATGCATCATTATCAATAGGATTTCCAAAGGCATTTTATTTGCTGTTTTCCAGATAAATATTTGCTTACTATCATTTATAATATTCTAAATCGTCATAGAATAAGTATTGTGTTAATATTTTTCATAAAAATATTTATTACTTATGTTTTTGTAGTCAACTCACTTTGAATTTATTAGCGAAAAAATTCGCACAAAATTTCATCTCATTCTCCTACTCACTGTAATCCAGAATACCTAATTTTTCCCCAAAGCGGATTTTTTCGCTTTCGAACTTCATTCAGAATAAGGCGAAAGCGAGAATGCGAAAAAATTCACACAAAAATGTTGTTCAGAATAAGACGAAGGGGAAGAGCGAGTAAATTCACGTGGAATTGACATCCAGAATAAGGCTGGTCGTCACACCGTTAGGCAAACACACAATGCTCTTGTTTGAATTGTTGTTGTCAATCACTTCACTAACGGTGTACGCATGCTCATGGGGATTTCGCTGCTCGACCTTTTTCGCTGTCTGGGCCTCTGCTGCCACTACTTGTGCGCGAACTATTTTTATCACTACCTGCGTTGTTGTTGCTGAATTCTTCTTGTGCGCCTCGGCAATCGCACCCTGCTTTTGTTGTTGCCATTCACTCTTTGCTCGAGTTTTCCAATCTGCCTCTTCAATAGAAATCTCCTACCAAACACATTGGTGGACCAGCACTGATTTCCTTCGCAGATTTTACCAGCCATAATTGTCCTCTGACAACTCCAATGCAACACATGCATGATTCCAGATGCGTACGTTGTCGACACACGACATAACGTACCCGACACTCGGTTATACAAACTGGAATGACTCTCAATGCCCTTTTTGTTTTGCACACTTCGATCACACAGATCGGTCACTGTCCACTTTCTTCCTTTCTTTCCTTGTGTAGTCCAAGCTCCATCGTTACTGACACACTGTAACGAGCTGCCTTGGTTGCCGACACACAGCTAACCATTGGACTCACACAATCCACTAGGCTTACTGGATGCACTCTATTTCCGGGGTTGGTATTCGACACACGAATAACCATTTGACGTAAACTTCGTCAAATTACTGCCGGACACTTATACACTTAGTATTTCTATCTCCATCAGAGTGATCCTGGGTACACTATTTATTCTTCCCTCACAGCGATTCTGGGTCTTAGCTATGACTGCTACGCTTGGGGTGACTGGGCCCATAACCTGTTGAATATATTTTCTATTCTGCTGCTAGTGGATGAAAGGAAAGACACTTGTGCTCTGGCTGGTGGCTTTATTGAGAGTGAACAATTTTCAAATTACACACTAGACAAGAAATCTTACTACTACGAATATTTACATTGTTCTGTGTAGGTTACACTAGGCGAACTAATCGCATTTACTCTACGCATGTATGTTGTGTGTTGGAAGTCCGTAACGTGGACATTCAATATTTACAACACATTTACAGATAAACATTTTTGAAAAAAATCTGTAAAAATCTGTAAAATTGTAAATAAATTGAAATTAAATTAAATTAAAATCTATCAAAATTGCCAAAAATTTTTACAGTACACCTAACATTCAGAAAATCACCTTTATTATAGAAAATAAAGGTCCGACTGCACCAGAAATTGCTAGAATTAGCAGAAAACAAAAAAAAAAATAATTCTCAAAATAAATAAATATTTGAAATAAAAACTCAAAAAATGGGAATTAACCTAAAGGAACGATTCAACTTCGATAGCCTTTATTGACGAAACTGATCCAATTTTTAAAGGGAAATTTTTGTAACGCGTGCGTACGCATAATTTTTCTTAATAATATTCATAAAAAAAATTAGCAGGTATTGTAAAAAGCATACAACTATTTAATAAAAATTGCAAAAGAAATTTCGGAAACAAATTTTTCTTAACTAAACAAACGATTATATTTCGCACGCAGTAACAGTGCGTGACATGGAATTCTGATATATATATATATATATATAAGGGAGACTGGGGCACCTTCGGCACTTTTTGTTTAGAGCTATATATCTCAGTACTTATTCAACAAATATAAAAACATTATGGCTGATTATTGTCTTCTGTACCAAAAACATATAATAAATTAGTATTAGATAAACATTTTTGCAGTTTTGTAAAAAAAGTCAAATTCGCCGAATGTGCCCCTGCCCGGGGTAGATTCGCTATTTGATGGGACACATTCGGCACCACAGTCATAGCCTGGTAATTAGCACCGCTATCAGTCTGGTTAAAATTCAGATCAGACAAAGGTACTATTTTGTTTAATTATGCGAGTCAAAGTTTGACTTTGAAGGTTATATTTTCTAGCGGCGGACGTTGATTTTTAAGGTCACACACACTATATGAAATAGCTTTATTCTATCGCATTTTCGTCAATACGTTTCGTCTTATATATTGTTAGCTAAAATGCAAAAAGGCGTAACTAACAAAAGCATAATTGTGTAGGGGAAGCAAAAAACTGTTTTGAATGAAAACTACAAACATGTCATGTGGAATGAAAAAGTATGCCCGGCAGAGTGATATTGCATATGACGAATAATAGACTATAATTTTTTTAACAAATTTAGTTATATAGTTTAATGGCAGTCATAACAATTAAGTAAAAATTTGAATTTTTTGTTAGTTACGCCTTTTTGCATTTATCAAATAAACCCACTTGTAGTTACGTCTTTTTGTTTTTTGTTTATAGAAGCTCCTTTTTTGACCGCAGACGTTTAAAACTTTGTCAACACATGTAGTTTATTGACATTCACAATATTCATTCAAAAAGTCAATTTTCAATTATTTGTTAGTTACGGCTTTTTGCATTTTAGCTGACGATATGTAATTTCGGACCATATTAAAGGATTCTTTTTAAAGACAAACTCAAAAACATTTTAAGTAAATACTATTGCACTATCTGCATATGGCCGAATGTGCATCACTTCAAAATGCCGAATGTACCCCGAAGGTACTTATTATAGTTTTTTTTTCAATTATTTCTATCAATTTTCTAAAAATCTAATCTTATTAATTATTTTTATAATAATATACAATGTAATTAACGACTTTAAAATTTAAACCTCAAAATTTGAAAAGTTTTATACACGAAATACTTACGAAATGAAATGGAAATATTACAAAAAACATCTGTAAAAATACAAAAAATGGATTTAAACCTAAAAACACATATGCTTAGTGTTTTTTTTAGATCCTCCGCTTTAACAAGGCAATACAATATTAATGGTACTTTTTTATCAGCTGTAGATTCATTTGTTGATCATGGTATTTTAATGGAGCAAAATTACATTTTAATAATCATGTAAGTTCTATGGTAAACAAACGATGGGCTAAATAATTCTCTAACACATATATTATAAAACAACTTTTCACATCTCTTGTGCGACACATCATTGGTATATTAGAATATGGCGCTGCTATATGAGATCCCCAATATGCAATATAGTCCCATAAAATTGAATATGTGTAGAAACAATTTCTACAATGGAATAGCGATTTTGTGTTGCCTTCTTATACTAGCAGGTTAAAATTAATTCGATTACTCAAATTAAAAAGTATACATATTGTGTTGAACACTATGATGGTAATATTGTAATATAACCTCAGACTTCCTAATATCATCTATTAGAATAAATATTTATTTTCGATCTAGTAGATATGATCAACTATTATACGTAGATTTTCATTGCACAAATTATTCTATGGGAGACCCACTTAGTAACATGTGTATTGATTTTAATTCTGTGTATTCTAATGTAGGTTTGTGCATGAATGTATAACTTACAAAACATAATATAATTATATTTTTAAATGAATAATGCAACTTAATAACTTAATGGCTATTGAAGAAGAATCTGGAGGTGGTTTAAAAACTCCCTTCCCACATTCCATGGTGTGTACCCGATCTCGTTCGGCAGTTGTGGGAACGTTCGAAAAAGGACTTTAATTTTCAAAGATATTGTTACGAAGTGTAAATATAAAGTATTTTCTTTTTTGTAAAATATGGAATTGGTAGAAATGTAGCGACATCGATAATGTGCCAAATATTTCAGTAACATAATTACATTACATTTTTTGCGGATATATAATTCACAGTCATCGTGATTTGCTCATAAATCTCCCTCATCGGAACTGATAATTATTAGCAGGAAGAATATATTTTAATAAATTCAACTATTGAACAAAATTAAACATTCCGACAGTTTTTGAGTTCTTCGATTATTTAGTTAAACTGGGATCTATTTTTGTCTGCAGCCTACTTAAGATAAGATATTTTTCTTGTTGAATATTTATACACTAGAATGTGATAGGAGTTTTCTATTTCCACATGTTGTATGTTTGGGTGAGATTACGGCAAGTAATCTACACTACAGTCTGGAAAGCGTTTCCAGGACGGGTTTTTACGGTCCGAAACGACCGGAATCTTACTTAGCCAACATCTGTCACCTCAGGCCATTATGTAAAAGCAAAAGGGCTGCTACAATTAGTGTGCAAATGCACAACGAATAGAAAAGTACTTTCATATAGAACCCTACCGAGCTATCAACACTCATATTCTCATTTTGGTCGCACAAATGTAGTAAAATATGTATTTATTGATTGATCTATTGATTAGTATTATATTATTTTATGATTGGCATAAAAGCCAACTGAATCCTACATGCACATATGAACACATATCAAAGCATTAATTTACATTCCAAATATGTTTTGTACTTTCAGAGGAAGAGGAAGCTAAAAGGCAGGCCCAGAGGGAAAAGGAGGATGAAAAGGACGAGCTGGAAAGCGTAACCGGAGGAAAATCATCTGTCAAGTTAAAAGCATCCGAAATTTATTCGGATGATTCAGGTAGCAGTGACTGGGAAGATGAGGATAAACCATCCGATAAACGTTCCCGAACAAATAGTAGTAAAGACTCTAGCGAAAGTGAAGAGGACGAACATGACGATAAACACACAAAATATATAACCACTAGGGAAGAACTGAATAAAATTAGATTGTCGAGATTTAAGATGGAGCGATTCATAAATTTGCCAATATTTGAGCGAACTGTAATGAATTGCTTTGTTCGTATCAGCATTGGAAATAATGGTCAAAAAGCCGTGTACAGAGTTGCAGAAATTGTTGGTGTAGTGGAAACAGCTAAAATTTATAATTTGGGCAAAACTCGGACCAATAAAGGTCTTCGATTAAAGCATGGAGCTCAGGAAAGAGTATTTCGTCTTGAATTTATTTCGAACCAAGAGTTTACAGAAAGTGAATTTACAAAATGGCGTGACATTTGTTCACAGCAGAATGTTCAGATGCCTTTAATAAGTTTAATTGAGCAAAAATTGAATGATATAAAGATAGCATTAAATTATGAGTTCAAAGATGAAGATGTTGATAAAATTATTGAGGAGAAAAATAGGTTTAGAAACAGACCAACAAATTATGCCATGAAAAAAACTTGTTTAATGAAAGAACGTGATGCAGCACTTCTTCGAGGCGATTATGAACTATCACAAGAATTAAGTCAACAAATAGAAGAATTAGAAAGTCGAGCTTCGGAATTGGATAAAAGAAGGTCCAGCAGTATCAGTCTAATTTCCTACATTAATGATCGCAATAGAAAGCGAAACGTAGAAGATGCTGAGAAGGCAATTTTGGAAGAAGCTCGAGCAAATAAAGGCTTAAGAATATCTGATCCATTTACCAGAAGAATAACACAGCCAAGAATGGGCTTTAAGCAAACAAGTGAAAAAGAAGTAATCGATATTGCACCGGATAAAACATCAAGTGGATTGTCAAAGCAAGCATTTGTCGCAACGGAAAGTGTCATTACATCAAATGACAAAAAAAGTTATAATCTGTACTCTCTACATGATTTTGATATTGATTTAGACGTCACAGTTCCAGGTAAATATTAATATATAAAGACTTAAAACTATTTTTTCCTCCGTTACTATAATTGATATCTGTCAAATTTAATATGTTTTTCTCAAATGCGTCAAATTCTGCTGATTGTTTATCTAATTCATAAGGTTAACCGGCAGGCGAATTCATGCCTTAATCTTCTCTTTGTTGTCAACTTTTTAATCGCGTAATATCAACCAGAACAGGATAAAAACTCAAAATATCTTTCGAAAAACGTGATGATAGTAATGTGCACATATATTTTGATTCGAATACTCGCCTCCTTGTTTTTAACCTTATGAATAAGCCTTGATCTATATATGTTTTTATTGAACGCCCGTATATATATATATATATCGCAATATAAGAATTAATGCTTAAGAAATTTCGGGTATTTGCAGATTATACTTGCTTCGTTTGAAAATTGTTATTCAAGTTTTATAAACATATTGTTACGTTCTTGGATTTTACTTAATCCCGTGTAGACGTTGTTTTATTTCCCAGTACAGTTCGTACTAAATAAAACGCGGGTTCTTTCTGATTACAAATACTACAATGATTTTATTGACACAACTTTACTTTGCACTTTACTTTACAGCTTTACGTTACTTGACGGTTTCAATTCGCGATCTGATTCACAACTGACTAACTGCCTTCCCATTTCCCCTATTTATATGAGCCTTGCCTGTCGCTACAGAAGTTTCTAGACGATCTGGTAACACCTAGATTACGAACAATCTACCAATGCAACAAACACATACAAACTTACATTGAGTGAACAATAACAACAACACATATACAGGCGAGGGAGTAACAAAGAAAGAGGAATTACAATGAGTGAACAATAACAACAACACATATACAGGCGAGGGAGTAACAAAGAAAGAGGAATTAAGCGATCATCAATGATGACGTTTAACAAGAATTGTACGTCAATAACAAAATAGAAAATGAAAGAGGAAATGGAAGGATGTAGAAAAATCTATGCAGTAGTTGTTGTTGTGAAGTTATTCGAATAAACTGCGTAGTAGAAATTTACGTTACAATTCAAATTCTTAAATTAACGGAATTCATCTAAATTAACTTAAATCTAAAGTTATATTCGTAACAATATACAGTGTGTGGTGACCTAATTAGCACACACCTGAAGGAAAACGTATTTTCGTTTCGAACATTTTTAAATTTACTCAAAACGCTTATGTATACTTTACTAGATCAATTAAGTGTGAAAATAGAAAATATACAGGGCAAATTAGTAATATATGAAACAAGTGAAATTTGAAGAGGACTCGTAAAACAACTACATAAGTTAGAATTTTACTTAAAGGACACCTTTGACTTAGAAAGTCTTCGAGGGAGACAACCAGTATATATTTTCAGTAAGTGAGGAAATCTCAATTTGTAACTAAATATATATGTAATATCAAATCGAAAACTATCGGTTGAAAGAAAATAATCATGGATAGGGAGGTATAATGCCATGTTCTGACGAGCATTCGAACAACGTAGTTCGCTCTCAGAATTACCTACATGAATTAACCCGTTCATACAACACTATTCTTAATTCATGTTATCAGAGTTTGTTTTTTCAAATTTGTTTCTTCTTTTGCACCGAAATTTCAACTTATTTGTGTACATTACCTATGAATTTAAATAGAAAAAATTAGTCTCTTTCTTCCGAATATAGAACCCATAGCTATTCACTTTTTCTGAAAATGTTGTTGTTTTTAATACATTATTATATTATTAAAATTCATATGCCACATATCAAAATACCTGAGTACATTTTTTTGTTTATCCCACATTTGTTTCTTTTTTGTACCCTAATTAGAAACAAAGAAACATATAAAAACTGAATAATTTTTTACTTTTCATTCATCATTTTCAAATTTATTTTATTTATTTATGTATTTATTATAGTATTAACATTGTAGTAAATACAATGCTAATAATAAAAGTATCTAGCATTGGCTACAATGGCCATCCGCCAGGACTTCAGGCGCTATCGTGATGGCATCCAAGACGTCATTCTATCGGACGTCAACAGATTGTCGATAGCGAACGCGAAGAAATCCGTGCATCAACTGGCGGTCTCCGATGCCATAAATGGCAACAGATGCAATAAAGTCCTACAACAACATCCTCCTGCAATTTCGGAGAGTGAGAGGCTTCTTCCTAGGCAAACCCGTTCAATTCTGGCACAACTAAGGTCCGGATACAGCAATGTACTCAATTCGTATCGAGAGCGCATTGTCCCCGGAACCCTAAACAGGTGTCCTTCCTGCCAGCAAAGCCCTCACGACACACACCATTTATTCAATTGTCCGTCCGAGCTTACGAGTCTATTGCCCATATACTTATGGCTAAAGCCAATATTCCTAATTAATTAATTAATATATTTTCCTTTTCCTTCTTCCGTTTTTCTTCAATCAAAATTTTTCAGGAAAGAACTTTCGTCAACAGCCAACCTTTTACAACAACAACAAAGGCCATCAGCTAAATCGGTTGACAATTCTTAATAATTTTATTAAATAGTAATTTTAAGATGACGTATGTAGTTAAATATCTTATTAATATTGGCAGTAGTAGGTGATATTAAAATATTCGTTCCATCGTTGTTGAGGTAGTTGTGGCGGGCTCTGTCGAAAGCGTAGGCGTACTTTGCTGCTTTATCGGCGTTTTCGTTTCCTTCAATTCCAACGTGACCAGGTACCCAGAAAAGTTTTATTTAGTTGTTCTCTGTTAGCAAATGCCGAATTTTGTTAATTGGTGCCCAACTGTTGTTTGATGTGCATAACACCGATTTTAGAACCGATAAACTGTCGGAAATAATTATTGTTTCTTGTTGTGAATGGATTGCAATATTGATAGCTTCTATAATGTCAGCAGCTTCGGCCGTGAAGATAGATGAAAAATCAGCAAGGGTTTTAATGGATAGAGTATCGCCATTGGAATCAACAACTGCGTATGCGGAGACTGAGTTTGTTTTTGAGGCATCAGTGTATAAGAACTGCCAAGACGAGTACTGCGAGGAAAAAAATCGAAAATGGTGTGCATATATTTCGATTGAAGTTCCTCTTTTTCCTAGAATGGTGAGAGATGTATCGCACGATTTGTCCGAAAAAAACCATGAAGGGCATTTAGGTTTAAAGCATGTAACCTTATCCTTAAAGTTTACTATGTTGTTCCTAATAAAATAGTAAACAACTGATATTTTTTTAGGTTTTCGTTTTGGTTTTAAAATTTTCGATACATCAGTGTTAATAACGGAAGACTTGGATGACAGTCTATTAATAATTTATTGGACTTTAAATACTTATTTACATGATATTCTGCATATCGTTGCAAATTAAAAACATTCATTATTTTTAATTTTTATTTTATATTTGTTGTGAGTTTTAATAAAGTGCCCTACTATCGGTCAATTAGACTTTGGAATTTTGTAGGGCGTATATTTGGTGAATTTTACTGATTTATTCGAATTCTATTGCTATTGTTTAATTATAAACCGCTACAATCGGTAGATTTGTTTGCTTAATTGTATACTACAATTGGTAGTTAATTTTCATGTTAGATTTTGGTACACATTTTTGTACAGGTTCGCCGTTATTTGGTATTTAAATATCTCATATTTGATGTGTTGCCTTTTGAAGCAGTTCTTACTACATTTTATTGAAAGTAATATAAATATCGTGTGATTCGCAGATTATTTTCAAAATATTTGACATTTTGCAAGACCTTATCCTGTTCGTATTATTTTATTTGAATTTAACATTTCTTGTGTGTTCCACGGATTTGTCTTGAACTTATAATTGTTTCATATTTTTGGTTAATTCGATAAAATGCTTTCACTCCAATGCATTTATATACTCTATTGTGAGATTCACAGCACACTTCGGCGCCTTGAAGGATATATGATCTTGAGGTTAGGAGTGATGAAATCAAAAAATTGTGGAAATCGGTTGAGGAAACTTTTAATAATTGACTCTCACACATAGAAAATGCTGAAGATCTCGATACACTACATAGAAAGTATGAGGTTTCGTCCAAAGAATTTATGCGTTGTTCATCGATTATAAATAGAATGTTATCTACGTTAACCCCTTGACGTATTTTCACGAGTCGGACTCGCGGTATAATTTTTGTGCCAAATATAATTAACACGAGTCTGACTCATGGTTATTAAATTGGGCATTTAAATTTTTAATTTTTATTATTTTTCGATTCTAATAGTAATAACATCTAACAACATCTAAAATAAATAGTTTTATTACACGCATTCACATTTCGTTTCGTTTTGCATTCGTTTGCAAGCATCATAACCGGCTTGTTTTGTGCAAATTGCGAACGGTTGGAAACGAATTCCGTTGCGCTAACTGATACGTCAAGGGGGGGTTAAGGAGTTTCAATATTCCTCCGACTCCTCCTTGTAATATTAATATTTTCAATGAAAATATTCTTGATTGCCCACTTTCAGAGATTTTTTTAGTGCGGTTTATAATAATAACTTCCGTGAGTAAAACTAGTGGTGAGGCTTGAGAAATCGTCTCGAAATTTCATCTAACTCATCAGAATTTTGAACCTGCGTGGAATGCCTTGAATTCCACTTATAATAATCCATGTTTGATTGTACATAGTCATTTATTTGTATTCGCCCTTCCTGTGCTGGATCAGGAAAGTAAATATTTAAAAATAATCACTTCTTATGTGTACATGTATACACCTTGCGGATTATAAAAGTACCCTTCAAATAATTTGGGGGATCTATAAATAATATATATATATATATATATATTAGGACGGGCCAATTTGTATGGAGCTGAAAATTCGAATAAATCCAGCCCCTAGGATGATTCTATGGACAATTCTAAGCAACTTTGGTGAAGAAACCATAGGTCAACTTTCTAAGCAACTTTGGTGAAGAAACCATAGATCTATCTCGATTTTCGAGTCTCCCACTTTTCACAAAATGATTTTTTCCCTGTACCGAAAAACTTGTAATTTTTCTCAGAAAATAGACGAAAAATAGTTAAAATATGCATGAAACAACACCCTCTGGCGTTGGTCATAGGTAAAGATCAGAAATGAATATCTCGACCACAAAAATACATAAGTACATGAATAAAAAATCTAATTTTGAATCAAAATTATGTTATAAGGAAAAATCGAATTGTGTGAACAAGAAAAAAATGTGAAATCTCTTTTTTTATACTTTCTGCCGAAGCAATACTTCGACTGTAGTTTACCTTTTTCCGATTTAGCAGTATTACGTTATGTAATAAACTTGTTTTAATAATAACATATTTCTCTTTTAGCGAATGCAGTAAGCAATCTTCCGAAACCTGTTCCCAAAATAACCGAGGCAACAACAAAACGGTCTTTGAACCTTGAAGACTACAAGAAGAAAAGAGGACTTATCTGATTACACATATGTCTACATTTGATATTAGTATTTCGCCAATAAACATAAATACTGAACGAATAATTTAAAAATGGTTATACGTGCTCTATTCATTTATATGATAACAAATATAAAAGGTGAAGTATAATCCGCATAGTCCAGAGAAAATTTTGACACACTTCAAAATTAAATTGTTTAATGAAATTATTGCAAATAAAATAAATCCACAAACGCAAAGTTAGTTTTATTGTCTCATTCTTTTTAAGGTATGTGCCCTGACGGTTTAAGGTATGTGCACTTTCAGGAATTGTTCTACAGCACAATCCCCAGCGAGTCTCTGTCCACGACGTACGGAACTCCACCGCAGTCCCCTCAACAGCAGCCCAATATACAACATTTAACCCACACGTTGCTGTTCCTACTCCTAACAGTGACGAGATAGTGGATTTCATGAATCTGAAGGTCTTCCGCTGTGATTCATTCGCCCGCAAAGGACACTGCTATTCGACAAACAGTTCTATCTATCTTTGTGTCAACAAACATTATTAATTTTATTACTTTCACATATTGTTGGGTTATTTCTTGGGATTGGGATATTGTGTTAGGTTTATTGGGTGTGCATGATAGGATATTTGTGGTTGAATGTGTTTGATTGGATGTGTATAATATGGTGTATGATTATATTTACAATATTATTATATATTAAGGTTATTAATCAGTTGACAATTGCAGAAATTGCGCCACTTCCACAGGTTTGCCCAAAGGTCCACAGGGCGTAAGTCTGTGGAGTTATTTGGACAGGCGAATATGTGTGCCGTATTGTGCGGAGACTGTCGACAGTTTGGACATTGATTTAGAATGTCAGGGGCTATCCGAGCCCGATAGCAATTTAAAATATTGCTCTATCCAGAACGCAGTTGTGCCAAAATGGTTCTGGTGAGTCTGGGAAGATGTCTCTCGCTATCAGAGATTGCTGGTGGATGACAATTAAGGACGGTGTTGGGGCTGTATCCGTTGACGGCTTCTTGGACCGCTCTGGTATGCAGCTGCTTCAGCAGCTGCTCTCCGCTATTGATAATCTGTTGGCGTCAGTTGGTAATACGTCTTGGATGTCCGGGCGGAAGAGCCTAAGCAGTAGTTAGTTTATTAGTTTTTAATATTTCGGAAATTATTATTTGCAATTTATTTATTTAAACGTTTTTTTCTATGTTAGCTGATATTGTCAGTGATAATTCTTTTTTGTCAACCCAGTTATACAACTTTAAAAATAATCTTAATATTGGTCACATTAATGTGAGAAGTTTTAAATCGCAAAATAACACCTTTAAGATTTATGATTTATTGTTTATCTCCCATTCTATTAAACACAAGGTTATGTGTAGAGATACTTCGTATGGTGTTGCGGAATATCTGTTTTGCGAGTTAACTTTTAATAATTGTACGTTTTTAGTTGGTGTTGTCTATCTCCCACATGGTGATATATATGTTATGGAGAATGAAGTTTCTGATATTGTTGTTAGATATGATGCTGATATTGTTGATAGATGTTGTTAGGAGATTTTAACAATTTTTTTTTGATGTATCTAAAAATTTTATTGTTAGAATGAGTGTAATAGGATGAATCTTGATGTAGTTCATAATTGTATTCCTACGCACTATGATTTTGCTCATGGTTCTACATCATTGTTAGACTACATTCTCAGTTCTTGTTCAAATGTGTTAAAATTGAGCTTTTATTTTTATGTTGTTATCATGGGAGATTTTAACAATTTTTTTTTATGTATCTAAAAATTTTATTGTTAGAATGAGTGTAATAGGATGAATCTTGATGTAGTTCAAAATTGTATTCCTACGCACTATGATGTTGCTCATGGTTCTACATCATTGTTAGACTACATTCTCAGTTCTTGTTCAAATGTGTTAAAATTGAGCTTTTATTTTTATGTCTCTTGGCGTTTACGTTCCTCGTGAAAAGTGTATTATGAATATATTGACACTGCTGCTTTAGAAGATATCATTTCGCAGTGCAATTTTAATGAGATTTTCAGTACGGCTGATGTTGATGTTCAGTTGAGCTTGCTGAATACACATCTTCATTTCATTCCAGTTAGAAGAAATATTGTCAGATTAAAAAGCGATGACTGGTACAAATAAAGTGAGATTCGGTATAGTTTATCAGTAAGAGATCTTTCATATAGCGTATATTTTAGTGAAAGAAGTAAAGAAAGTTGGAAAATATGTAAAATATTATGTAATAAAGCAAAAAATGTTGTGAGGAAATTTAAGAGACTGGCCCATTAAGACCTTTTTTCAGTAAAACTTCGAAACAAATTTTGTCAGTGTTAAAAGCGAATGGAGTTTCTTATGATACTAAGGATGTAGTAGATAGTGATGATGTTGAGAGTTTTAATTGTAATTTCATGCGTAATCAATCCCGTGATAATATGCGCATGCCACATGTACCTGATGGTGTTATGGGTTTAGATTCCGGTCTGTTTGTGGTGAGGAGGTTATGGAAGCTTTCCAGTTAAATAAGTCAAATGCCGTTGGTTGTGACGGATTTCAATTGAAATTTTTAAGACTAGTGTTTCCTTATATTTGTGATTATGTTGTCCTTACTTTTAATACCATAGTCACTACGTCTGTATTCCCTGCAGAATGGAAGATAGCAATAGTTGTACCGATTTCAAAGAGTAATGGTTCTAATGATCTGAGACCAATTTCTATAATGCCTATTCTGTCTAAGTTGGTGGAACATTTAATGAAGAGGCAAATGATGGATGAGTCCTCTCTTTTACATGAAAGCCAGTATGGATTCCGGTGTCATCGTAGCACAACATCGCTGCTTATTGGTCTGACCGACAACGTAAGGCAGAAAGTCAGTGATGGGGGCTGTTGCGTACTCTTGTCGATTGATCTTGAGAAGGCATTCGATAGGATTAATCACGCAAAATTAATTCAAACGCTTTTTCAGTTTTTTTCATTTTCATCTGCAAGCCTGCAAGCTTTTGTATTCGTACTTATGTGAAAGGAAGCAGTATGTTAGCAGCAATAATCTTATGTCTAGTGTCTTGTCTGTGAGTAGTGGGGTACCGCAGGGTTCTGTATTGGGCCCATTGCTATAGCAATAGTTGTACCGATTTCAAAGAGTAATGGTTCTAATGATCTGAGACCAATTTCTATAATGCCTATTCTGTCTAAGTTGGTGGAACATTTAATGAAGAGGCAAATGATGGATGAGTCCTCTCTTTTACATGAAAGCCAGTATGGATTCCGGTGTCATCGTAGCACAACATCGCTGCTTATTGGTCTGACCGACAACGTAAGGCAGAAAGTCAGTGATGGGGGCTGTTGCGTACTCTTGTCGATTGATCTTGAGAAGGCATTCGATAGGATTAATCACGCAAAATTAATTCAAACGCTTTTTCAGTTTTTTTCATTTTCATCTGCAAGCCTGCAAGCTTTTGTATTCGTACTTATGTGAAAGGAAGCAGTATGTTAGCAGCAATAATCTTATGTCTAGTGTCTTGTCTGTGAGTAGTGGGGTACCGCAGGGTTCTGTATTGGGCCCATTGCTATTTATAATGTGTACTAATGACTTGTTTAGTATTTTTAGCTACCGGAATCGCCTTGAAGTCGTCAGTGGTAGTTGTGGTTTTGTGATGCGTAGATTGCGTTTATTGTTTAACAGCGTTATGCGCTATGTGTTTTCCGTAGGTTGGCATCAGCATATTTCTGTTCGTGTAGAATGTTTTCTTGGTACTAGTTTTATTTTGTCATTGAACTGTTTTCGTTTGGGAGTTCAACACGCAAATTGTTTTGCCGAAATTAACCTCTATTTTGGAAAGGTCATTTTTGGTAAGAATTGCTCGAATGTTTAATAATCTTCCACCATATCTTAAGGCGTTCAATTTTTCACCGTGTACGTTTAAAAAGAAACTTATGTTATATGTTCAATCTCTGATATCTAAACTTTAGTTAATTTATTTTTTTTTTGTTTTTACATAACTTAAATTGTTATTAAGGAAAAATAATTGAATATTTATTATGTTATTTTATTATAGATATAAGTTTCTCGTGTGTATAAGTTAAGTTGTTTTGTGTAGCTTAAATGGCCTATTTGGCTTTTTTACTATGCTTAATAAATGAAATGTCCTTCCGGATATGTCGTGGAGGAGGATCCTGCATCACAATGTGATGGTTGGGGTGACTAGGCAGATGGCAGGCCAGGAGGAACTGTCTAGCAAGCAACACATTATGTTGCCGTACCGACAGTATTCTCGTCTCCTCATGTAGGTGATCCACGCTCGACATCAAAACACAGCCGGTAATCCTGAGGGTACTATTCTGTGCAACTTATAGGTTACGCCATTGGGTATCACTTAAAAAGGAGGTCCAGACTGGGGCAGCATAGCTGAAGACTGAGCGACTGACGGCCGTATATGTCGCTACTATAGTTTCCTTATCCCTGGTTCCTGTCAGCGTTTTCAGGACCTTTTTTCTTGTCTGGATTTCACCTTAATGTACGCTGCATGTTTTGTGAAGTTTAGCAAGTTATCGAACACAACACCCAGGATTTTAGGGTTTTGGACAGTCGGAATTGTTCTATCGTCGTTCTTACATCAATTTCTTGCCTTAGTTCACGCGTCCAGGAGGTAAATAGGGTAACTGTAGATTTTGACGGCGATAATGTCAACTTTCTTTCCTGCATGAAGATTGTGATGGTTGACAGGTAGGAGTTCAATCTGGCACAAGTTTCATCAATGTCTACTCCCGATGACATGATGGTGCATATGTTACCATCTTGATGCCTTGTGGTGGTGCAGGAAGCTTCGCAAGGTACAGGTTAAAAAGGAGTGGTGACAGGACTCCTCCTTGGGGTACGCAAATTTTGGTAATGTGATTGTTTAATTTAGAAAAACATATTGATTTTTATCCTTGTGGGCGTTTTCACTTTTATTGAGTTTGAAAACGCATTGAATTCCATATTCGTTACAATCTATAAACTCCTTAATATTACA